ATAAAGTTTATTTAAAGATATCTACATCAAATGGGTTTAAGATTTCAGGCAAAAAACTAAACTCTAATACCTTATGCAGTAGTGTTAATTAAGCAGTATTCTAGGGCTTAATATATTCCTTTACCTTGGTTGGGTCACCATGGGTCTAGTTGAATTTGTTCCTTCAATATTGCATTTCTTCTTTAATAATACTTAGCACATTTTATTGTATTTGTTGTTTACAGTATTTTTCCTCCTCTAGAGTGCAAGCTTCTCAAGGGCAGGAAATGTATTCCTTTGTCTTTCCATCCTGAGCACCTACACCAGCACCTGGAACAGGGTAGATATGAAGTAAGTGGATGTTGATTCTCCAGGTAGACAAGGCATTTAGAAAGGTATCTCATAGTTAAGCAGATTTGCCAAAAAATTGATTTTTAAATGTTGATATGGTTTGGCTGTGTATCCCCACCCAAATCTCATGTTGAATTATAATTCCCATGTTGGCAGAGGGGCCTGATGAGAGGTGACTGGATCATGGGGATCAATTGCCCCCTTGCTATACTCATAATAGTGCATGCGTTATCATGAGATCTTGTAATTTAAAGGTGTATGGCACTTCCCCCTTTACTCTCTCTCTCTCTCCTGCCACCATGTGAAGACACGCTTGCTTCCCCTTCACCATTCCATCATACTTATTAGTTTCCTGAGGCCTCCCAGCCATGCTTCCTGTACAGCCTGCAGAACTGTGAGTCAATTAAACCTCCTTTCTTCATAAATTACCCAGTCTCAGGTAGTTCTTTAAAACAGTGTGAGAGTGGAGTAACACAAATGTATACTAGATGATATATACTTACAGGGAACGTTCTTTGTATTCATGTATGTGGAAACCTGACATAATCACTGTTATGGGCTGAATTGTGCCTCCCAAAATGTACATGTTGAAGTCCCAACCCCCATATCTCAGAATGTGACTGTATTTGGAGATAAGGCCTTTAAAGAGGTAATTAAGTTAAAATATGGTCATTAGAGTTGGCCCTAATCCAATATGATGAGTTATAAGAGGCAGTTAGGACACAGACACACAGAGGAAAAACCAAGTGAAGACACAGGAAGGAGACAGCCATGTGCAAGCCAAGGAGAGAGGCCTCAGAAGAAACCAACCCTGCTAATACCTGACTTCAGACTGACTTCTAGCCTCCAGATTTGTGACAAAATAAATTTATGTTCTTTAAGCCATGTCTGTGGTACTTTGTTGTGGCAGTCTTAGCAACTAATACAATAGCTAGAAAACTAGTAAAATCACTACAGGATTGTTTAGGTAAATGTAGGATCAAAATAATTCTCATGCTCCTATGGGACTATTTATGCATACTATATTAGAGCCTCTTCCCCTGTACAGAAAACATAACACAATAGTGACCCAGTATTTCTTTTCTTTAGTGTCTTTCTTTAACACAAATTTGTGCACATACTGACAGTTTCTTATTCACAGAGTCGCACTCTGTCACTCAGAGTGCTGGGGCTACAGGTGCACATCACCACACCCAGCTAATTTTTTAAAACTTTTATAGCGATGAGAGTCTCACTATGTTGCCAGGGCTCAGTTAGGCTCAAGTGATCCTCCTGCCTCAGCCTCCCAAAGTGCTAGTATTATAGGTATGAGCCATCACATTGCCCCCACCCCTTTTTAATGACATAATCCCTCAGCTCCTGAGTAGAAACACAGAACCTCGTCACACTTAATATATTTTTTTATTTCTTTCTTTCCTTTTTTCCTGAGATGGAGTCTCACTCTGTCGCCGAGGCTGGAGTGCAATGGTATGGTCTAGGCTCACTGCAACCTCTGCCTCCTGGTTTCAAGTTGTTCTCTTGCTTCAGCCTCCCGAGTAGCTGGGACTACAGGCACATGCCACTACACCCAGCTAATTTTTGTATTTTTAGTAGAGACAAGGTTTCACCATGTTGGCCAGGCTGGTCTCGAACCCTTGACCTCAGCTTATCTGCCAACCTTGGCCTCCCAAAGTGCTGGGATTATAGGCATGAGCCACCATGCCCAGCCATCTCTAATGCTTTCTAAAACATCTTCTAATTTCTCTTTAACTAGGGACTATCATCTGCCTCTTCAGCATTATTAATTTACTAGCATAACATGTGGGACACAAACCTTATCTTAGAAAACTATGAATGATAAACAATTAATGAAAACACAAAAAGAAGAGCTAGTTATTTTAAGAAATGTTATTGTTCTTCATATTTAATTTTGATATCAGAATTGACTTAATTTCATCACAGGAAGGGCCTGGTATCATATTCTTTTTAAAGGAGGCAATTGTTTTTCATATAATTTTTTTTCTAGAAAAGTTAAAAGCAAAGAATAGCAATATTCACAGTTTTTCTGAAAACCAATATGTTACAATCTTTTGAAATCCAAGAGCTTATTTCTAACAAGACATATCCAATTCTAGAGAGCCATGTAGACAGTTCCTTCAATATAACAATGAACCACATTAGCAGATTTATCAGAAGAACATTTCTAGCCATAGCAGAATATTCATAAGCCATCAAATTTAGTTTGAGAGTAAAGGCCTCGGATTTCATAAAGACAAGGTAAGTTAATTCTTAAGAGAAATCTAGTTTGTGATGTACTTCAAATGATGTATTATCAAACTTATTGTTATCTATCCTTTTTATGAGGACGTAGAAATGTTTTCTGACTTAAGAGTAGACAGTAACTCAGCTCAAGATTTCCTCTTTTCAGGGTAAAAATTATGGTAAATGTGGACAATGTTTATCAATTAATTATTAATCAAATAAAAAACTACAAACGTTCAGTGACTTCAGCTACCATCAGTTCATTAGGAAGGGCTGAGTGTAAAGTGCCAGATAACCAGCTGAAAAGTGAAAACAAAATCAGGGTAATTCATGTGTGCCTTGTTGTTTTTGGTGTTTTTGTTTTGTTTTGTTTTGTTTTTTTATGACTACATCCAGTCAATCAAATCAATTGTTTATTTCTTTTTCATCAAGGTGACTGTGCTGTCTGGTTGACTTGGGACCAACTCAGAAGAAAACTATTCCACTCCTAGTCTTATCTGGCTCATTTTTCCTTTTTAATGGGAGAAAAAAGATTATCAATTATCCTCTTGCAAAACCTCTTTGTCCCTCCAGTTTTTCCACTATGCCTTCCTGCTAAAACTAGCAACTTGGAGGTCACAATTCTTTGAACTCATCAACTCCAAAGCTTTTTATTTCTGCTCCATTTTAGCTGCACATCCCATGACCACACTTTAGTTTGTACAGCATTTAGCACATGATATTCATTTTGATAAAGCCCCTATGTGATTCTCATGGAAGGAAATTGTGGACCACACTTGAAGGAACACTATTCTGGATTTTAGTGTATGGAGTGGGGGATGGTTGAGAGAGGTCTCATTTGAAGTCCTGTTTTCCTTGTGAAACAGGTGAGTTTGTGTGCTTCTCTGCTCCTCATCCCACTGGCCACAGTCTTATACATCCTTAAATGTACACACCAAGGCTGGGTACAGTGGCTCATGCCTGTAATCCCTCCATTTTGGGAGGCTGAGATGGGTGGATCACTCGAAATCAGGAGTTTGAGACATGCCTGGTCAACATGGTGAAACCCCATCGCTACTAAAAATACAAAAATTAGCCAGGCATGGTGGTGCACATCTGTAGTTCCAGCTAATCAGCTGTTCGGGGATGGGGCAGGAGAATCATTTGAACCCAGGAGGTGGAAGTTGCAGTGAGCCTAGACCATACCATTGCACTCCAGCCTGGGCGACAGAGTGAGGCTCTGTCTCAAAATAAATAAATAAATAAACAAACAAACAAACACACACACACACCAAAGTAAAATTTTTTTTTTTTTTTTAAGAGACGGAGTCTTGTTATGTCACCCAAGCTGGTCTTCACTACTGGGCTCAAGCAATCCTTCTGCCTAGGCTTCCCAAATCACTGGGATTACAGGTGTAAGCCACCACACCTGGCCAAAAGTGAAACTTTTTGTGATAACTTCTCCCACCCAAATGATCAATTTCATTTAGAGTCACTAGGATATCGCATTCATGTATTTATCGCAGTACTTCTCATACACTGTAATAATTGATTGCTTGCATCTCCTCAAAATAGTCTTCCTCAAGGTTTTATTGTTTGTCTTCTTTTTCTTCATTCTTTCCACATTCACTGTGCAATATCATCCAGACCTATGGCTTCAACAAAACACACATAACTGATGATTATCAGATGTGTATCTCTAGCCCACATATTTTTCCTGAACTACAGATTCATACTTCCAGCAGTCTACTGGACATTTCCACTTAATTGTTCAAAGGCATTCCATGTGTCAATGCCCAAAACAACTTATTTACTTCCTGTGCTCCCAACCCTTAACCCAAACCCTCTCCTTTTCTATTCTCTACCTAGGTAAATGGCACCACTATGTACTGTTATTGAAGCCAGAAACAAAGCCGTCATTCTACAGTCCTCTCTTCCTTTATTTATTTAATCCTGTCAGTTATTCTTCTGAGATGTTTCTAAAATCTGTATTCTCCAGTCTCCCACTGCTATTGCCGTGGATAAAAGGTAGTTTGTAGTACATGATAGTTTATGGTACAGCTGAGAGTAAATAATAATATTACTGGATAAAAGGTAAATTAATTATAGCAAATCCTTCAATAAGGTCATTTTATTCAATGTCATCTTCTTATAACATTGATAAGAAAAAAAATTGCCACCCACTCCCGCTGCCCCGTCTGGCCCGCACCGCTAGCTCACAGCAGCCGCTCCCGGCTCGGCCGCCGCAGCCCGCGTGGACGCTCCGAGCGCCCCCGGACTGACGGGACCGGCTCCCTGGCGGGCGGGCGAGCGGGCGGCAGCGCCCGGACGGCAGCGCCGGGGTTAAGTGGCCCAAGTAAACCTAGTTCGGCGATCGGCGCCGGAGATTCGCGAGCCCAGCGCCCTGCGCGGCCGCCCGCCGGCCTCCCGCCAGCCCGCCGCAACCCGCGGCTCCGCCGCCTAGCCGCGCCCGAGCCAGCCCCGCGGCAGGAAAGCATGAAGGGAGCCACCAGGCATCTCAATGGAGAGGAGGACGCCGGCGGGAGGGAAGACTCCATCCTCGTCATGGGTCCTGCAGTGACCAGTCCTCCGACTCGCCCCCAATCCTGGAGGCCATCCGCACCCCCGAGATCAGAGGCCGAAGATGAAGCCTGAGACTCTCCAAGAGGGAGGTGTCCAGTCTGCTAAGCTATACGCAGGACTTGACGGGCAATGGCGACGGGGAAGATGGGGATGGCTCTGACACCCCAGTGATGCCGAAGCTCTCCCGGGAAACCAGGACTCGGTCAGAAAGCCCAGCTGTCCGAACCCGAAATAACAACAGTGCCTCCAGCAGGGAGAGGCACCGGCCTTCCCCACGTTCCACCCGAGGCCGGCAGGGCCGCAGCCATGTGGAGGAGTCCCCCGTGGAGTTCCCGGCTACCAGGTCCCTGAGACGGTGGGCGACAGCATCGGCAGGCACGCCATGGTCGTCCCCTCCCAGCCCTTACCTCACCATCGACCTCACAGACGATACAGAGGACACAGATGTGATGCCCCAGAGCAGCAGTACCCCCTACACCCGCCCAGCCCAGGACAGCCAGCAGGAGGGCATGGAGTCCCCGCAGGTGGAGGCAGACAGTAGAGATGGAGACAGTTCAGAGTATCAGGATGGGAAGGAGTTTGGAATAGGGGACCTCGTGTGGGGGAAGATCAAGGGCTTCTCCTGGTGGCCCGCCATGGTGGTATCTTGGAAGGCCACCTCCAAGCGACAGGCCACGTCGGGCATGCGGTGGGTCCAGTGGTTTGGCGATGGCAAGTTCTCCGAGGTCTCTGCAGACAAACTGGTGGCACTGGGGCTGTTCAGCCAGCACTTTAATTTGGCCACCTTCAATAAGCCCGTCTCCTATCGAAAAGCCATGTACCATGCTCTGGAGAAAGCTAGGGTGCGAGCTGGCAAGACCTTCCCCAGCAGCCCTGGAGACTCATTGGAGGACCAGCTGAAGCCCATGCTGGAGTGGGCCCACGGGGGCTTCAAGCCCACTGGGATCGAGGGCCTCAAACCCAACAACACGCAACCAGTGGTTAATAAGTCGAAGGTGCGTCGTGCAGGCAGTAGGAAATTAGAATCAAAGAAATACGAGAACAAGACTCGAAGACGCACAGCTGACGACTCAGCCGCCTCTGACTACTGTCCCCCACCCAAGCGCCTCAAGACAAATTGCTATAACAACGGCAAAGACCGAGGGGATGAAGATCAGACCCGAGAACAAATGGCTTCAGATGTTGCCAACAACAAGAGCAGCCTGGAAGATGGCTGTTTGTCTTGTGGCAGGAAAAATCCCGTGTCCTTTCACCCTCTCTTTGAGGGAGGCCTCTGTCAGACATGCCGGGATCGGTTCCTCGAGCTGTTTGACATGTATGATGATGACGGCTATCAGTCTTACTGCACTGTGTGCTGTGAGGGCCGAGAGCTGCTGCTCTGCAGCAACACAAGCTGCTGCCGGTGCTTCTGTGTGGAGTGCTTGGAGGTGCTGGTGGGCACAGGCACAGCGGCCGAGGCCAAGCTGCAGGAGCCCTGGAGCTGCTGCATGTGCCTCCCGCAGCGCTGTCACGGCATCCTGCGGCGCCGGAAGGACTGGAACGTGCGCCTACAGGCCTTCTTCGCCAGTGACACGGGGCTTGAATATGAAGCCCCCAAGCTGTACCCTGCCATTCCCGCAGCCCGAAGGCGGCCCATTCAAGTCCTGTCTCTGTTTGATGGAATCGCAACAGGCTACCTAGTCCTCAAAGAGTTGGGCATAAAGGTGGGAAAGTACGTCGCCTCCGAAGCGTGTGAGGAGTCCATCGCTGTCGGAACCGTGAAGCACGAGGGGAATATCAAATACGTGAACGATGTGAGGAACATCACAAAGAAAAATATTGAAGAATGGGGCCCATTTGACTTGGTGATTGGTGGAAGCCCATGCAATGATCTCTCAAATGTGAATCCAGCCAGGAAAGGCCTATATGAGGGCACAGGCCGGCTCTTCTTTGAATTTTACCACCTGCTGAATTACTCACGCCCCAAGGAGTGTGATGACCGGCCGTTCTTCTGGATGTTTGAGAATGTTGTAGCCATGACGGTTGGCGACAAGAGGGACATCTCGCGGTTCCTGGAGTGTAATCCAGTGATGATTGATGCCATCAAAGTTTCTGCTGCTCACAGGGCCCGATATTTTTGGGGCAACCTTCCTGGGATGAACAGGCCCGTGATAGCTGCAGGACTGCTTGCAATACAATGGGATAGCCAAGTTAAAGAAAGGACAGACAATAACCACCAAGTCGAACTCAATCAAACAGGGGAAAAACCAACTTTTCCCTGTTGTCATGAATGGCAAAGAAGATGTTCTGTGGTGCGTGCGCTGAGCTCGAAAGGATCTTTGGCTTTCCTGTGCACTACACAGACGTTTCCAACATGGGCCGTGGCGCCCGCCAGAAGCTGCTGGGAAGGTCCTGGAGTGTGCCTGTCATCCGACACCTCTTCGCCCCTCTGAAGGACTACTTTGCATGCGAATAGTTCCAGCCAGGCCCCAAAGCCACGGGGTGTGTGGCAGAGCCAGGACCGAGGAGGTGTGATTCCTGAAGGCATCCCCAGGCCCTGCTCTTCCTGAGCTCTGTGGGCCATACCATGTACCTCAGTTCCCTCCTCCTCAGTGGGGGCAGAGCCACCTGACTCTCTTACAGGGGGAGCCCAAGGTGCCGCCTCCTGGTGCACAATTCAGACCTGGCTGCCTGGAGCAGCCAAACACGGTGCTCATTTTTTCCTTCTCTTAATACTTTAAAACTTGAAGTAGGTAGCAGCGTGGCTTTTTCTTTCCTTCCTGGGTCTACCACTCAGAGAAACAATGGCTGAGATACCAAAACCACAGTGCCGACAGCTCTCCAATACTCAGGTTAATGCTGAAAAATCACCCAAGACAGTTATTGCAAGACTTTAATTTCTGAAAACTGGCTGCTACTCTGTTGCCAGATGTGTGCAGCTGTAGGCATGTAACTACAGGACATTTTTTAGGGTCCAGGATGGTTTTTAGGGTCCAGCAGAAGAGGAAATGTTGTATATGTCTTTTACCTGGCACGTTCCCCTTGCCTAAATACAAGATGTGGAGTCTGCGCGGGACCCATTAGAGTATTTCCCATAATGATGATGATTTCAGCAGGGATGACATCATCATCACATTCAGGGCTATTTTTCCCCCACAAACCCAAGGGCAGGGGCCACTGGCCACTCTTAGCTGAATCCCTCCCAGTAACTGCAATAGAACCGTCTGGGGACCTCAGGAAGAGGTGTGCTGAGTTCTATAATATAAGCTGCCACATATTATGTAGACAACTACGGCTCCTCCACACCTCCCTCTTCCCTAGGAGAGGAGTGTGAAGGAAGGAGCTTAGATAAGACAAGACACTCCCTCAAACCCATCCCCTCTCCAAGAGAGCTACCCTCTACTGGCACAGGTCCCCAGACTAGAAGTCTGCTACCTTCATTCCTTATCTTTTTACTAAACTCAGATGCAGTGACAGCAGTCAGGGACAGAAGCACACTTCTCACACCTTTCCCTCATCTAAGAGACGACAGGGAAAACGGCAATAAAAGCTCGGTTCTCCCTCTGGAGATTTTTAATTTTTTTTTTATTCCACGATAAGTCGTTTTTAGGGGGAATGGGAGTTCAGACAAGCTGCATTTCAGAAATGCTGTCGTAATGGTTTTTAACACCTTTTACTCTTCTTACTGGTGCTATTTTGTAGGATAAGGAACAACGTTGACAAGTTTTGTGGGGCTTTTATACACTTTTTTTTAAATCTCAAACTTCTATTTTTATGTTTAACGTTTTCATTAAAATTTTTTTGTAACTGGAGACACAACGTAACAAACATGGGGAAAAAACTGTGCCTTGTTTCAACAGTTTTTGCTAATTTTTAGGCTGGAAGATGACGGATACCGAGTTTACCTTATGTTTAATTAAAATCAGTATTTCTCTAAAAAAAAAAAAAAGGAAAAAAAATTGCTTCTCTGCTGGGGCCATTGTCTGGGTGGAAGAATAGCTTGAGCCCAGGTTACAATGAGCCGAGATCGCCCCACTGCATTCCAATCTCAGTGCCAGAATGAGACCCAGTCTCAAGAAAAAAAAAAAAAAAAGCAAAACATGTTCTTGACTCTTTTATAATCTCCATGCCCACATTGCCTGGGTATTTGCCACCTGCTACCTGTGTGGCCTTGGACAAGTTGCTTAACCTCTCTGCTCCTCAGTTCCTGCATCTTCTTACTATGTCTTTGTGGACTTTCTCTGGGTATTCAGGTTTCCTGATACATCACAAAGATATGCATGTTAGATTAACTGGTGAGTCTCAATTGTCCCAGTGTGAGTGAGTGGAGATGTGTGTGTGAGTGCGCCCTGCAATTGGATAGTGACATATCTGGGTCCACTTCCTGTTTTGCATCCTGAGCTGTGGGAGAAGCTCTAGCCACTAGAGACATAGAGCTGAAATAAGCAGGTTGCAAAATGAATGAGTGAATACAAATGACTGTAAAATAAAAATGTATAAATTATCCAATATAATCCTCCAAATACACAACAATAAATGATGGAGTATGAAAGTGCTCAGTGAGCCTACCCTATTTGTTATTCTTTCTTTTGAACTGTGTGGTAGTAGTAGGTGCTTCTGACAATTTTTGCCTTTTTTTTTTTTTTTTTTTGAGACGAAGTCTTGCTCTGTAGCACAGGCAGTGTTTCAATCACAGCTCACTGTAGCCTTGACTTCCCAGGCTCAACTGATCCTCCCACCTCAGCTTCCCAAATAAATGGGACTACAAATGTGCACCAGAAATTTTGCTTTGTAATCATTATTCATTGATTAACCCACCACTGCAACTATTGCCAATCACTGATTCAACAAAAATTAGGGAATTATCTTGTTTTCATTATTATTTTTTAAATGTGTGTGTAACTCATATTTATTTCAATGTTTAATATAAGAAGTGTTTTGGGTCTTTATTTAGAAGTTTGGTAATTTTTTTTTATTTATTTTTCTTTTTTATTGCATTTTAGGTTTTGGGGTACATGTGAAGAACATGCAAGATTGTTGCATAGGTACACACATGGCAGTGTAATTTGCTGCCTTCCTCCCCTTCACCTATATCTGACATTTCTCCCCATACTATCTCTCCCCAACTCCCCACCCCCCACTGTCCCTCCCCTATTTCCCCCCAACAGACCCCACTGTGTAGTGCTCCCCTCCATGTGTCCATGTGTTCTCATTGTTCAACACCCGCCTAAGAGTGAGAACATGCAGTGTTTGATTTTCTGCTCTTGTGCCAGTTTGCTGAGAATGATGGTTTCCAGGTTCATCCATGTCCCTACAAAGGACACAAACTCATCGTTTTTGATGGCTGCATAATATTCCATGGTGTATATGTACCACATTTTCTTTGTCCAGTCTATCATTGATGGGCATTTGGGTTGCTTCCAGGTCTTTGCTATTGTAAACAGGGCTGCAACGAACATACGTGTGCATATGTCTTTATAGTAGAATGATTTATAGTTCTTTGGGTATATACCCAATAGTGGGATTGCTGGGTCAAATGGAATTTCTATTTCTAGATCCTTGAGAAATCGCCACACTGTCTTCCACAATGGTTGAACTAATTTACACTCCCACCAACTGTAATTGTGATATATGACATTATAACTTTGGTACATCCAAACAACTGAATATTATTCAACAGTAAAAATAAATAAGCTATCCAGCCATGAAAATACGTGGAAGAACCCTAAATGTATATTGCTATGTGAAGAAGCCAGCTTGAAATCATACTACATGATTCCAAGTATATGATATTTTCAATAATGCAAAAATATGGAGATAGTGGTTTCCCAGGCTTTGAAGTAAAGAAAGGAGAAATAAATAGGAGAACCACAGGTCATTTGGGTGACAGTGAAACTATTCTGTCTGATAGTGTAATATCAAAGGCATGACATAATGCATTTGTAAAAACCCACAGACCTGTATATTGCAAAGAGTGAAATGTAGTATAACTATGGATTTTAGTTAATAATTATGTATCAATATTTATTTACCAATTGTAACACATGTACCACACTGGTGCAAGAAACTATATGGGGAAGTGGAGGTATATAACAACTCTCTGAAATATCTGTTCAATGTTTTCTTAATGTAAAGCTTCTCAAAAAAAAAGTTTATGAATTTAAAAAATAGACCTGTAAGTAAATGCTTATTTTCTTCATAGACAAGATATAGTCTGACATATGAACAATAATTGAAATTCTCAACAAAATGCTAGCACACTAAATTTCACAATATTAAAATAATAATATATCATGACCAAGGGAAATGTATTTTTGGAATGAAAGGATGGTTCAATATACGAAAATTAATCCTAATATACAACACTAGCAAAGAAAAAAACTCAATTATCTCCATCAATGTAGAAAAATCATTTAACAAAAGTTCAACACTCTTTTAAAACACTCAACAGACTAGGAGTAAAAGGTAATTATCTCAACATAATAAAGACTATATTAGAAAAAACCAAAGGTAAGATATTCAGTGATTAAAGTTTTTTCTTTAAGAGCAGGGACAAGTCAAAAATGCTCACTTTTACCCCTTCTATTCAACATAGCACTGAAGTTCTAGTCAGAGCAATTAGGCAAGCAAAAGAAATAAAAGGCATCCAATTTGGGGCAAAAGGGAGAATTATCTGTTGCTTGTAGATATAATCTTATATGTTAAAAATATCTTACACAAAATAACTGTTAGAACTAATAAATGAGTCTAACAATATGGCAGAACACAAACCTTTGTTTAAAAAGAATTTAAAAGACCATGAACTGGACAGTCTTTACCACCATCTCAATAGTGGTTGGAAATAGAAATTGTTTTCTGATCTAAATATTTAAGATGACAATTCACAGTCTAATCTGCATTATCTATTCAAACAAATTTAACCAGACTGTTTCTAAATAATGGAAGCATCCAGAGCCACATAGTAATATATCCCTACTTTATTCAAATACCAACAAAAGCCTTCTTCCATGGCACAATTAGTTTTCAATACATGTGCCCTGATGAGGAAATGTATTCACCTCTACCATACTGTCCCTATGTATATAACTTCACACACAGATATGATTTGCATTATATATTTTAATATTTTCAGAGAAAATTTTTCTGTTTTTAATTGGCCAAGATACTAAAGACTTGGCCTTTAAAATTGTTTTAGTTTAAAATTCTTTAATTATACAAAAAATGTGATGTAAAATTTATTGTCTTAATTATTTTTTTTTCCCATTTATTTATTTTATTGCATTTTAGGTTTTGGGGTACATGTGAAGAACATGCAAAATTGTTGCATAGGAACACACGTGGCAGTGTGATTCGCTGTCTTCCTCCCCATCACCTACATCTGGCATTTCTCCCCTTGCTATCTCTCCCCAGCTTCCCACCCCCCACCGTCCCTCCCCTATTTCCCCCCAACTGACCCCAGTGTGTAGTGCTCCCCTCCCTGTGTCCATGTGTTCTCATTGTTCAACACCCGCCTATGAGTGAGAACATGCGGTGTTTGATCTTCTGCTCTTCTGTCAGTTTGCTGAGAATGATGGTTTCCAGGTTCATCCATGTCCCTACAAAGGACCCAAACTCATCGTTTTTGATGGCTGCATAATATTCCATGGTGTATATGTGCCACATTTTCCCTATCCAGTCTATCGTCGAAGGGCATTTGGGTTGGTTCCAGGTCTTTGCTATTGTAAACAGTGCTGCAATGAACATTCGTGT